CAGACACTCAGAAATTCCTGTGTTGCATAAAAACCAACTGTTTTGCCTAACAGAAGCTCTGCAATACAAGCGCATTTCCAACACTATGTAATTTAACAGTGTAAAATAGTCTGTTATTTGCTTGCTGAACTAATTTAAACCCAACGTGCGTGCAATTTCATAAAAAAACATAGCAGCAACAGCGAAATCATAAATCCTGAGTAAGGAAATTAACAAAAAAGTGCGCGAGCAAATGCAATTAAATGAAAATTAGCAACAATGGCCAAACGTAACGATGTGCGTGAATGCAGTAATTTTGTTTTGCTTGTTTTCTGTTGCCTGCAATAGCCACACATACGCATTAATGTGTTTCTGTGTATGTAACTATAATTACTGTTTTTTATTGTGTTGATTTCTTGATGCGCGCACTCTATTGTTTTGGATTTTGCAATTCAATGCTAATATCTGCAGCAGCAGCAGCAGCAACAGCAGGGGGGCATTGAAATGTTTTTTTATTAGTGCCAGGGACAATAGCAACATGAAACATGTTGCTTTGGTGAAAAAATGTTGCTAAACAGCTAACAGCGATGTTAATGTGCCTTGTTTGTTGATATGTTAACTGAGCTGTGCGCATATAAATAGCGCCAAATTGTTTTTTAATCAAAAATCACTGTTTTCTGTCATTCTCATTGTTGTTGCTATTGTTGGGGTGCACAAATAAATAGCGCTTATGTCATCGTCATCATCATCGTCGCTTTGGTATATAGTATGAATGGGTGAATGAATAATGCGCTGAAATAACGAATAGCATTTTGGCATTATTCTGAGCCCAAACAAAACCGTTTGTGTGTGCTTTTATTTCTAAATTAAGCACAAATTACACATGCTTATAAAATGACAAAACAAAGGATGTCATTGGAAAATAGTGATGAGACATTCTTATTTGTAAAAGCAATTAAAGACTAACAAAATGCTACAATCTATACAATTTCGTATTGATTTAGAACAACAGAGAGGTCTTTAGCTAGTTTTATGATGCATATCTTTTAATTAATTTGCTAAGCAGTAGCTCTTGGTATAAATTGGATCTGAAGTGTGTAGTTAAAAGTTTTTTATGTGACTAGACTACCTCAACTTTGTATATGTGTGAGTGTGTATGTGTGCAAGTGTATTCGTGTGTTTTCAGTGGGCCATTGGCCTGACCACCACTTTGTAACCAATACCAAACGGGCTAACAATCACATGGTTGGCAGGCAAATTGCTTGCGCCCTGTCTCACATTTCAGATCGCTACATAATTTTCTTGCAAATTTATGGCTATGCGAACTTTACAAATTGTATTTTATTATGCAATCAAAACAGTAATATGGCCAAAAGATTTATTATAAAATGCCGCAGCATATTATATTCCTGTTGCCTTCAATTTGAACTTAACGCGGCTGCAAATTATATAAAAATGTTAATCAACTTGATGTTTAGTAGACAATAATCGCTTTGATTTTAGCATTAGCTTTAGAATCCGGCTGGTGGCCTCTCATTTAATTATGCATGTGCATAAATTATGGCGAAACTGTAAATTAGCTGCTAAAAGACCTGCGTATATGGAGGTTGTTTCGCTATTTCGCGACAAGTTTCCAGTCGTTGTGAAATCAAACAAATAGTTCTTTATACTGCAATGCAGATTGAAAGAAGTAAAGCCTCTTCTCTTTCGGTAAATGACTCAACACTGGCACAACGTTTATTAAGTAAGTTTTTACGCTTAAGATATTGTATGTTTTAGTGTTTATTTTGAAGCTAGAACTGTCACAACATACAGATATGGCAGTGGTTAGATCAATACTACGCACACATGCCATAGGAGTACAAAACAGGTTAATTGAGTGCAGATTGAGAAAATGTAAATGTCAGCCAACTTGGCAGCCAGTCCGAAATAAAAGAAACCAAGCTGTGGCCACTTATTTCGCCGGCTGCTAAGCGCTTTCAATGTCCCGCCTCCCTACATAAATGCAGGTTGAAAACGTTCAATCAGCTGGGTCATTAGCAATGAAAATTCCAAACTCAAATTCTAAATATAGCCAGCCACACGTACAACGCAAAAGGGAAAAGTCTAGAGAAAGAAACAATCGCTTCATTTGCCTTTCACATTTCAAAATCAGAAAAAATTGCAGCGCGTCCAGTCGCGCTTTAAAGTATAAAATTTGTTTACACAATTTTTCTCTCGTTGTTGCTTTTTTTTGCGTCTTAACGCTTATACTTGTATATAAATATACGTACATATAACCGTTCGGTTGGTAGGCAAACAAAAATTTATTAATTAAACGCAAAATATCAATGCGAAATGTTTACACAATGAACGAGACGAAGTGAAACGATTTAAGGCCAGCTGCGAAAATACGGCCAATTTATTTACTTTTCCTTGTCCCACGCAAGTGCTAAATGAATGAATGATATTTTTGCGCATTTTCTTTAGAATCGTAAGAAGTTGTGTTTATTTTTTTTCTCTCTCTCTCAAATCTGACTGCTTCATTTCAGGGACAACAAACACAAGCGCAAGGGGGCGTATGTATGATATATGAAGTAATATGTTTTTCGAATGAATATATATTTAGATTGTTGAATAGGTCTTAATAGAGTCACACAAATCTGTCAGCAGCTGTGACAACATAATGGCAAATATTTGGGTAAAAAAGAGAAAAGAATATAATTTTTTAATACGCAAATGAATTCTGTTATACCTTTTAGCTGTGTTCCCGTTTTCCACAAATTGCTTTTCCAAATCTGCATTTACGCTTTAGTAGAATTCAAAAAATCCTCTTTTAATCCCTCTCCTTAAGACCTGAAAAATAACATTAAAAAATATATATATGCCTATTATAGTAGGACAGACTGTTTCATAAGCTGTACTTTCCATAGTCAATTTAAACTTGTCTTTGCCATTTATTTTGTTTTCCTAATATACCATCGCAAAAGCTTTCGAAATTTTAAAATTTAAACTGCAACGACTCTTCAAAAGCCGGTGGCTGTGATTGAACACGCTTATAAATCTGAGCTCAAAATACACATAAATTATAAATTCAAGTTATGAAATATTAAAATTGATTGCGTCTGAACACGAAACTGACAATCGGTCAAACAATTTGCAGCGTTTACTAATCAACGTCTCATGTCGCCTTTCATCGCGGTGCAGAGTCATTAAACTGTGGTTGATTTGCATTTTTGGTTTTGTACCGTCATTTGACTTGATTTTTAACAGTTTTGTTCAATAGAAAATTATGTTAATTTTCTTTGATTTTCTGTTTTTATTTTTATTTCAGCTTAGTATTTTTTTTCGAGCATTTTTAAACATTTATTCATTTGGCTATTCGGCTGTTTTTTTTCTTTTCGAAATTTATTTCTGTAGCATTTTCAATGTCAACTTTGTTGTTTTATTTGCATAGCAGAGGCTGCTTTGGAAATAAACTTGACTGTTTGCAGATTTTTTTAATGCCTGATATTTATGTGTGACAACATTTAAAAGAAATTTGCTTCATTTGAAATTATATTTATATCATGACGCTGACTAAGTATTGCAGAACTCAATTGCGCATTGGAAAATCCATCCAGAAAAGTACAGCACAAAAGTATATATGACAGTAGATATGACAGTTTAACTTGAATGTCTGTTAAGTTTGAAATATTGAAATTTGTCAGCTAACCGAACATTTTCATTCGGCGGTCAATATGTTCTGTGACCCAATCTTTATGCAAGAATGAAAAAAGGCAGAGCATGATAGACAACATTTTAAAGAATAATAATAATAATAGATACTAGATCTAAATAGTTTTCAAGCAATTTTCTTAAATATTTTCTGAGAATTTTCTGAGATTAAACAAATTATCATCTATCATCAAGCTGTAAATTTTGGTAGACTTGCCTTGAAGAATAGGACATGGTTAAGTTGGAAAGGATGCACTTGTTATTTTAGCTAAATATGTTTCCCCATTAGGTACCAGCGACTATACAAAAATTTGTGAATATAGTTTCGAAAGGATACCCTATTTAAGCGTTATGTGTTGACCTTCTTTAATGTTTCGGAATTTAATTTCAAGTTTATGGAATTGGGTCATGGTCCAACGTACGCATCACAAAGGTGGCGTTGAAGCATCAAGAACTGTTAAAATTTATATTTAACAATTTTCACATAACAGTGTGAAAAGTTTCTTGACACTTGTGCGCTAGAATGAAAAGTATTCAAGGCAAAGCAATTAGCTGCTGTTTAGAATTTTCTGTTGCATTACAAATACGAATTTGAATCTTATGTTGTAAGTGTATATGTTGTTCTTCTGATGAACTGTCATTTCCATGACTTAGAATTTTGTTTCCCAAATGACAGTTATGAAGGGAGATCATAAAAGAAATTTAACGTCAATATCTAATGTTTTCTCACTCCGCTAGCTGAAGGTTTGGGGGTTTCTTGTTTTTCGTTTAGGTAATTAAAACTAATTTTCTGCTATTTTTGTTTTTGTTTTTCCTTCTTAACACTCTTCTTAGCAGTCACATTTGATGGCAGCGATGAAATTTATATTTCTTTCTTGGAGGCTGTTGGGTTTTATATCTTTTAAATGGTTATTGAAAGTCTTAAGCGGTAAACATTTTATGGGTCACACAAAAGCTGTAGCCGACGGTGCAGGCGTTTTGATAAAGTGGCGTTGCGTTTTTTTTTTTTCTATATACATATACATACATATACAAGTATATACTTGTTATGATAACTCTGGTTTTACGAGCGCTTCGGGTCAGAACGAGCTTGGCTCATTCGATATGAACAACAATTTGATTTTTAATAGTTTCGTAAATGATGTTGAGCATCTGAGATTGGGCAAAAAGGTCTGCAGGCTTCGCCTTAAACATAGACGCACACTTTAACATTTATTTAATTAATAGCTTTGCATTAAAGTGAGAATTAAAGGGCAGCTTGCTGTTGTAGTCTATACACGTAGTTTTATGACTTTACTTATATGCAATCTCCATTATATTTACAGATTGAAACGAAAGCATCGCGCAATTCCAAAACAACACACAATTTCCCGAGGTAAGCAAATTTTTGTTATTTGCTTAGAAGATAAGTACATACTTGTGCAGTAATGAATGGGCCCGTTTGGCAAGTGCACAAACACATCGGATCGTTAATCAAAAATCATCAAATAAAACACACGGCTTGCATTGTCTTACAACGCATGGCGCATGGCATCATTGCGAATGAATCAGCGGCACGTAGAGGTGTCTATGCAGATATGATACCTGCCAGATACAGATACTAACGTATACCATCTGCCGCTTCAAATAAGACAAACGTGTATATATAGTTCGTACGAGTGCGAGTACGAATAAGTTGTTGTTGTCGACATCGGACGATGGCGTCAAATTGCATTTAAATTGAATGAAATTAATTTGACATGCAAGTAGAGTCGCCGAGTCGAGTCGAGCTGGGCTGTGTTGTTTTGTGTTGTACTTGCTGTTGTTGTAGCTTTCAACAAAGCGTTATAGCTACATGTGTACAGATACGCATTTTGTTTGTATCTTACAGATACACAAACGGCAACAGATGAAAGCGCGCAGACAAGCGTTGCACATGTTAAGCGAAATCAAAATGACAGGCACCAGAGCAATGATGGACAAACAGACAAAGTACGAAAGATAAAGAAATAAATATTGCTAAAGATAGAGAGTGCGAGCAGGATAGTTGAACAAATTCTAAACGCATTTCGATGATGATGCACTGCAGATACAAAATGCACTGTGAAGAAATGTTGAGCCTTTAAATGTGTATAATAATAAGTTTTCACGCGATATTCTCCTTCTCCCCAGATCTATGTCCAATACAAATGTACACAGTATTAAATCTTGGAACTTAAAGTTTTTTGTAGATGCCGTTTTGCTTCTCCACCTGTATTCGGTATTCGCTGAATCTTTAATTGACAGTACTGGCTATTCCAACAAGAATGTCCTGTTAAACATAACACTTGGGATTATCATACCCCTCGTAATATTTCTGAAAATTAATCCTATTGTATGTTTGTTCTGTATTTAAATTTATTAAATATTCACAGCAAAACATTTTGGAAATGTGGAAACCAGAACATGTAGGAAATGAGAATGAAACAATGAACCCATGAAGATAGAATATAATTGTTCCAATCACAATAAACAGAATACATGCAATTATCTACACAATATTCAGACTAGCCTAACCACTGCCAATTCATCATAAATCAATGCAGCTTCCTTAAAAGTCCCACTACAAACCAATTCCTTGGAGAGGGAAACTCGTAAAACATAAATGCATTTTTTTAAATTATTCCTCAATCAAATATTTGCTCATACATATGTACATACCCACCCATATTGAAATTCAGGATTAATTCTGTGTTGCATTTAATGAAAATAAATAAATTTAAGAAAGCGAGACCCTGCCAATTTAAATGTTGAATGTTGGGTTAATTAGTTGGGCTTCAACAATCGATTACTGTATGGGAACTTTTTTTACAGTGCACATATCGTAGATGATGATGATGCCTGCTCAGATACAATAGGCCAGAGTAGTGCAACTTTTCGTTCTGGCAATGTGGGGGTTGCTGCTTAAAAATAGCACAAAAATGATCTATGCCTGGCTGCTTCGCCGGCTGACTGGTTGACTGGGTTGTTTGGTTGGTGTTGGTTGGTTCTGTGCAGTGTGTGTTAGCATGAAATATTTTCATCAATGCTGCCCGGCCGGCCTGGCCCGGCCTGGCCCGGCTGTGCTCGGTTCGGCAGCCCAAGTGCAGCGTTTGCGTTTGTCCGACCTGGCATGGTCCGATCCAAACCGATCCGTCCCGATTCAACGTTAACGTTGACGATGGCGTCGTCGTCGTCGCTGCAATCGTGTAGGCGTTTTGCATTTGATTTACTTCATTTATCACACTTTGCTGGCAGCTTATTCTTGCTGCTGGCTATTGCTCACTCTTGTTGTTGCTGCCATTCGGCTTTCCGTTAGCGTTATAATTTCTTAATAAATTAAAAGGCGTTTGGCGCCCAAGTTTCTTTTAGTTTATGTCTCTAGGCCGCCTTCGTTTGTATGTACGAGTTTGTATCTATCAGCTATTAGATATGCATCTACAAGTCTAGCACTGACTTTGTGTAACAAAATGAATGATTGCTTCTTGATGCTTTTAACCATTTTTGTTATTGGTGTTATTTGTAGCTGGAAGAAAATGTTTTATTTTCACCGCCAACTGGTGATTGTATCAGAACAAATCATATTGAATGCGATCGTGTGCAGTTAGAAAACGTATTCTCCATCCTGGCCTAATTAAAAGCTTTCTTATTAGGAGTTAGTAAACAAGAACCATTAACTTGTAGCAAATGCCAGGTTTTGAGGTTTCTTTTTATTTATAAATTGTTTCTAAATCACAGACGTTGCGTTTCCAAGCAATGCAAACGTCAATTGTTTGCTTATAAGTCAAGCATAGCAGTTAAGTTGAGTTAAAGGCCACCTTTCGCGTGCCTCTCTCGGTAATTCTCACAATGCGATTGAGAGATTTCAAATGCCATGCAAAACTGCTTAGCCATGCCTTGAGAAATCAGCGAAGCATGCAAGCTTGGGCATCATACACACACACACACCCACATAGACATACATCTACACACGCACAACGCCCCAAAATGGGCAGCTTTTTAAAATTTTATGCAATGCAATGAATTTGCAACATTCACATGAAAGCGCCATCTAGTGGCGGCAATGGCGGCCTGTGAACCAAATTGTTATTGTTGCCTTATCTGCTGCTGTTGTTGTTGTTGCTGCTGCTGCTTCTGGTGCTGCAAACCTGCCACGTAGAATGTGTGCAAATTTTTTTTTTATACGAGTATACGAGTATATTTTCATAATTTTTTGTGTTGGCTGCTTTTATTTTTGCTTGTGGTCGCGTAATCAGGGTGTAACAATTACGCGTTTTGAATTGCTGCCGCAAACAGACGCGCCAACAACACGCACACCTGCACACACGTAGCCAGAGCTAGAGAGGAAAAACAGCTAGATAGATGGCCAGATATGCAACTAACTTGGCTTGTATGCCGCGCCCCGTCACGTCTTACATGTTAGCTCTGCTCTCCGTGCTCTGTTCCCATTTGAGGCAACGGCCGAACATACCTACCTACCTACATACATACATACATACATATGTATATGCGAAATAATTTTGAAATTATAGACGAGCAGCGGTAGCTAACAAAAAAAAATTCACACAAGCATTCAGCTACACACATACATGCATACATACTTAGGCTTTTGTTAAGATTCTTACTTAATTTCAATGTTTTCTGTGGCTTACGTTTTGCATTGCATTTGATTGCTTTTCTTCATGGTTAATTAAACGGCTTAAACTCTGCTTGGCCTTTCTGTAGCACAGTTTAGCTATAATTTTTATGATTTCACGTCATTTTTCATGTACAACTTACAGCATAGTGCCAAAAAAAATACAAATAAATAAAACCAAATCGCATTTTTAGAATGTTCAATGCTCGCTTGCCATTCAAAGTTAGTGGAGTGTGGCGCGGACCGAAAGGCAATAACAAATAATAAGTACCGCTAATGTGTGTGCGTGTGTTTGTGTGTGCTCATGTGGGTGTGACACCCGCAAAATGTGTAGTTAGCTTTAATGTTAGCCCCAACTATGCTCGCTGGATTGTACAGATACTTATTAGCTAGGGGCCAAAAATGGCATTTTGGAAGGTGCTTGTCGTACGTAAATTGATAATCATAAAACAAATTGCTACAAAACGTTCGGCTATTAAAGGAGCTAATGCTGCCAGGCTTGCTTGGAAAATGTTTAAAAATAATTGAGAATATCGCAATTTACAATGAATGTGAACATGTAAGAAAGAATTCAAGAAATGTTTTGCAATAATTTTTAGGACAGCTTGTGAAGCCTATCATGCTTTAACTATCTCTAAATCATGCTTGTCAGTCATTTAATTATTCGCAAATGAACTATTCACTAAATACGATATATATACATTTACCTTTACAATGACATTTTAAAATATTTTACAATTTTGTGGATTGCGTTTTGAAATGATTCCTATTTTCTATGTTATTTTGAGTATAATGCGACTAAAGGAATATGTCTGGAAAGAAACTCAAATTTTGATTTAGTATTTGGGATGAAGTTTCCTTGTTCTGATAAGCTTTATATTAGCTCAGCATTTTATTTTTAAAATGCTTTTTGCAGGTCTAATAATGCCTCTAAAATAAAATAAACAAAAAATTGCCAACGAGTCACAGGCGTTTTCTTGATATTATTTTAATTTGATTTTTTCAAGACTTTTTTTATAACTTTTGTATTGTTTCACTTATTTTGAAAGCCCTTGCGTGTCGACAGTGCTGTATATGAATATATTTGTGTTCCAAGATACATCTTGCTCTGTTCCTTTCAAATAGAAATATCTACCTTGAATTAAAATTGATACCAAATTGGTTTTACTGCAACATTTTTTTTTTGCATATTGGACCTTTAATCATTCAAAAATATATCCCTTTTTGCTGAACTTTTAACATTGCGCAAACATTTTAGAACAATAATAAAAAATGCAAAGAAATGCTATATTTATTTGCTGAGAATTTGAAAAATGATCCCGAAATACATCCGTATCTTATATTGAGTCGATTTTTATTTCAATAAAGAAAGTATTTTGATATTTTAGGACAAATTCCTGCATATAAAGTATTTTAAATATATACCCTTCAAAGTTCAGACACCGTAGGAATGTAATTAAACGTTTCTTACTACGAGTATTTGTGCGTAGTTGTGAAGTTCTTCAATAATTGTGATCCTATAAATGGTCTTGTATGGTTGTTTATTTACATACATGTATATGCGATCAATCTTCAGCATTAATTTTATAATAGCTACCATAAATCAATCCCAGTAGATGGGCACATCGATATCATTCAAAACACCCCCAATGCTGAAAAACAAACAAAAGCGAACAAAAAATTGTTCCACTTCACTTGAAAAACACAAAAAGCAGCACAAACAACAAATTAACATCAGCAGC